AAATCAAACTGCTAGTTATTGCTCCCTTCTGCTGGTCTCCAACTTGAGCCTAGTTATACAAAAATAGAGCAATAACAATAGACAGAGATAAAGGTAAAAATTGTATAAGTGGAAAAAAGAATAAAAATTAAATATTTTAAGTCAAATACCTAGATGATCTATTGTCAACCTTAATAGAGTTAAATAAAAGAAGACTAAATATATATATAACAAATATGTATATAGTATGCAAAAACAAATAGAAGATTTGGATTACCTTGCTGAGTATAAAAAATATCAAAATATATAAAGCATTATTGAAGATGAAGCAAGCAAAAAAGGTCTTAAAGTTTTATAGAAAGAAGAATGAGAAGGAAGACTCCTAAACAAAGAAGATATTAAGGAACTTATTTCGAAGAAACTCAAAATAAAAGAATAAAAACAAGAAGATATCTGATTAAAGATTTCATATCCAAAAGAAAAAAAGAAGTCAGAAGAAAAATAGAAGATAATAATATACTGCAAAAGGTGCTTGATATGATTAAAATAAAGTTTGATAAAAGGTTTTAAAAATATATTTAGAACTTTAAATACAAACTGGTCAATAATTAAAAAAAAAAACATGAGAAGCTAAAAAGAAAAAACAATGCAAGAAAAAAAAATTTATATAGAAGTCAGAAAACAAAAAGAACAGAATAGAAGAAAAAAAAAATGCTAGCTAAAAAAGAAAAAGAAAGATAGATCTTTAAACAGATATAAAAAAATAATCAAAATCTTTTTTAGTATTGTATTAAGCCAAACTAGTTCTTTTGAATCAATATTAAAAAGAAAAAAGAGGTACTAATAAGATCAGCAGCTCTTTTAATCAAGAAAAATAAATCTTTAGAAATAAAATAATTAATAAGCTTTATATTTTAGATAAAATTAAATAAATTAATATAACAAAATTTAAATCAAAAAGTTTAAATAAAAAATTTATAAATATATTTTAGATATAATATATTATAGAAGTTTAGGTTCTGTAGCTTAGTGGTTAAACTCTCAAACCCTTATAGACAAGATTGATGATTTAAGTTTTGCTGGAGGCAAATTATTTAATTTGTCTCTATAATTTTAAGTGGATATAATTGCAAAGTCCTGTGGTTAAATCCAAGTACAAGTATGATTTTGAACTAAAAATTTCTAAAAGGAGACCCAAATATAATGGGTAGGCATTATGTATAATTGCAGTATTACAGGAGACTGCAGCTATAAAGATTGTACAAGTAAATCCTTCAAGATAAGTCAGCACCAATATCCTTATATTTTCAATTTAGATAATATTAACATCCTTATATTCAACTTGTGGATACTTGTTTGGAAGAGTGGTTAATGAACTGCACAAATTAGTCTTTATTTGGATTAAAGATACAGGTACTTGATTGGGAGGATGATCATCATTATCAAAGTTAAAGTAGTAAGAAAAGTGGTGAATACATGGATAGACTGTGATAAAAAATTGGCCTTACCAGAAGCAGAAGCATTTCTAATAGTGCTAAATAAAAATACTATAGAAGACAAGAAAATGGAGGTTGTTTAATATTCTGAGTATATATAAAAGTACTAAATCAGGCTCTAGTTACATCTATATAGAAGTTTATAACGGACAAGTTTAGAATCTACCAACCTCTGGGGTTTGCAATTCAAATGGTAATATGACATTATTGAGGTCAGTATAACTCCTTAGATATAATTAGAATTGTTTTAATTTTGTATAACAACATGCTAGAAGTAAGTATAATATGATAATATGGTATTACTGAGGTTGATATAACTTCCTAGATACAATCAAAATTGTCTTATATACTTGTAAAATAAGTTCTAAACCCTACTATAACAGGTAGTACTTAAAAGAATAGAGGAATGCACTAAGGAACTATATAATATTAAGACCTAAAACATCTGTAGTTGAGCTGCAACAACAGAAATTAGCTTAAGATATAGGTTAGTAGTATCTAAGCAGAAATATGGAAGAGAATATCTATCAATAAAATATCAACTCTGTTATATAGTGAACCTAACTAGACAGCAGTTTCTGGCTTGAGATACAAGTTTCTGCAAATCCTGAACCTTTGTCAAAATTTTCTTAGAAGAACAAATAACATGATACACCAAACTGGAAAATCATTAAAATCTATAACCTGAATGTTACTAATTTAGAAGTTAGATAAGAGCGAAAAGGTGGGTGATGTAGAGAATATAGTCTAGCTAGATATAGTTGTTTCAGGATGCAGAAGTAGCATCAAATATGGGTCTGATCCTCTCTACTAGTAGGTGATTTAATGATCTAAATGGTAAATACTCTAACTGCTAGTGTTAGTTTTGACTATAGCATGCTAGTAGTGCAACTAGAATATATTTAAGCACTTATTAGGGCAGCTGGATAAATGTCAGATCACTGAGTTGGATTAACATAGTCTAGTTTTAGATTGTAATATATTTCAACAATTATATATATAGTTATGATTGGATCTAATAAAGTATCACTAGCTTTCCTAGCCAAGTTTAAAAAAAAAAAATATATATATATATATATAATATACTGTATAGCAAAGATATATGTTTTGATGTCCAAAACCTTTTTTGGCATATTTAATATTCAAATATCCAAGTGTCCAAAACTTATTTAAGCTTTAATAATTAAAACATTTATTTTAAAAATTATGATTATATATTTTATTTAATTTTAAACATTTTTACTTAGAAAGTTGAAATAGATTATCTTAATAAAATTTTGAGCAATTTTAATATTTAAAAATGTTCAAGATGTCTAAACTTTGTCCAAAGGCTGTCCTGTAACATTACTGCTATATAGTATATAAATACTATAATAATATAACAAAAATTTTTAAATAATAATTAAAGTTGTTATATGACTATATAAATGCAATGTGTATAGACTAGTCTAAAATGTATATTTAAAGAGATTTGCATTTAAAACGAACTAATTAAATTATATCTTTTAATATTGGATTTACAAGCTTGTATAACAAACTTAATACTAACTTCTGATTGGCTATATGCATTTAGGAAGGTTAAAAATTTTTTTGAGTAAATATGCATTTGCAAAATATAAAATATGCATTTAGCACTAATGATTTTATACAATCAAGACAAAAATGTGCATTTAGGAAGGTATTATATTTATATAGAGAGGTCTGACTGTATATACCAGTAATATAAATTAATAAAATTAATAAACTAAAAAAACTTAACCTTACTACAAAAAAAAATTAAATTATTTAAATTTGAAGTTTAATTTTTTAATAACTAGTAATTTAATTTTGTTCAATTCTAATCATATATTTATTAATTATGTATTAATGCACTTGCATAATACAAGCTTATAAAATTGTATATTGGCTTCAAAAATACTTAGTACATATAATTTTTTTAAAAAATTCAAAAAATTACATATTGATTATTGAAATAAATTATAAAAATCATATAAAAAGTTGATTAAAACCTACTATGTTTTCCCAACATCGTACCCGGAGTATTTCCCTAGCACATTTTAGTAGCGTGAAGGGAGTATACTGTACGAGCACTTCTATGTTTTTGATATGTTTTACTATTATACATAAGTATAATACTTTCATACTTTTATACCCGGGTATAAATCAAAATTTGGCACTCTAAATTGCTGCAGGGTATAGCCCACGGGGGTATACATGTTGGGAAAATACGGTATTTTAAAAAACCTTAAATAATTAATTAAAAATTTAAAAACTTTTACTTAGTATTAAAATTAATAATTTTTTGAAATACAAATCTTTCTGCATCGGACCATAAATAAACTTATTTAATAGGGTTATTTTAGTAAAAAAAAAAAAAAAACGATTGTATATAAACAAATAAATTAACTTAATATACATACTGTAGCTAACTTATTTTTTTTTAAAAAAAAATTTTTTTTTAAATAAATTTATTTTAATGTAAGGTTATTAAAATTTGGCTACTATCATTGAGCAATTGTTAGTTTAAGGTGTTTCACACTGTAGCAATTTTATATTTTTGTTATTTACTATTGTATATAATTAATCGTGTGTATACATTCGATACAAAAGTTATGAATGTGTTCTCACGTTAATAACTATAATTCCTCACCGGCCATTAGCAATAAATTTAATAAATGTTCATCTTCTGCCCAATCTACTCCGCTTTCAAGTATTAAACCCTAACACAATGGTATAAGCTTGTTAATAAACTTCCAATTTAGCCAATTCACGAACACATTACCTGTAATACGTTCCGAACAACTTCACGTTTTGCTCTAGCATCGACCAGGTCTTTTTTTGTCCTTTCATTTGTCGTGAATTGAAAAGTCGGTTAAATGTTAAATCTTAAACAACATATATTCCTACTCACCTTTGAATCATTTTCGTGTCTTGGCTATCAGAGTTATCAGAGAATGATGTGCGTTTGTCATGTATTTGTTTCATTAGTTGCCTATTATCTCTGTGGCGCTCTAAATTTATAAGCTAGTTAAAAATAAAAATGTTTCTATAAAAGATTTATAATTAAATGAAAAAAGAAACAAACTTATGACAGTTTGTTGAAGCTCTATTAATTCAGTTTGCATCTTTAACAGTTCTTGATGAGATTTCAAAATTTCTGATACAAGATGATCACGTTCACTTATCATATCTTTAAGACACCTAGAGATTGTTTAATTATTACTGTAACGCGAAAATACACGTAAATAATTAGAAAACATATTGCTACAAAAACTTCTAAAGGATACGATGCTTGAGGCGACAATTGAGATTCTTCAGGAAAAATAGATGCATATATAACGCGTCCTGTTTCGATACTATTTAAAAGAATTAAATTAATATCACCATTTACGTAGATCTATTTGATTCTTTACTTAATTATCTTTTATGCACCATTCAATTGCTTTATCCTTGACTAAATTTTTTGCTCTTAAATCTAAAAGAATTTGTTTTTTTTCATCGATTCGTTTCTTTAATTCAACTTCATCAGTTGGTTCAGCAAATATTAACGATGATATCTGTTCTGAAAATAATATTCATCATTGTCTCAAATAATCCTCAGTAAATTTAAAACAAGTTTATTAAATATTATAACTATGATCAATACTTACGCTGTTTTTGTAACGCGTACTCTTGCTCGCGTTGTTGTTTTTTTACCAACTCTATATGTTCGACCAACCTTAATAATTCCTCTTCTTTATAAGTAAATATAAACTTTTCCTTATTTATAGAAATTTCTGTGAAACCAACATTTGCATTCAAGGTAGTTTGTAACAGTAGATTCGCTGCTTCGGCAATAAACTTTAATGACATTTTCGATATGTATTACACAATATTAGATCAACATATGGTAAATTTTATAGTGTGTACAAATACTTTTTTTTTTATATACGTTATTATAAAAAAAATCGGTTGAATTGAATTGAATTTAAAAAATTAGAAATTTCATCACCTTAGTCTGCTTTCTCTATGTTTGAATGCTCGCAGTATCTCAATAGCTTGAAAGGCACCTTTATAACGTTGGAATTCGGCCGATAACTCATCGATAATCATCTATATTATATATTTACGATTTCATTTTATTTATTTGCTTGAATTAAATGGCAGCCCCGACGATTGAATGCAAAGAGTTTTTTTTGCTTGCAGAAGGATTATATACACTTAAAGAAAACATTTTCTTAGAAATAAATGCTCAAAATCTGGTCAGTGGAACATTGGTTTCTGTAGTTTCTGTAAAGTATAAGGAATACACAGCACATCCAAACATAAATGCTGTGGAAGATGTGTCAACGATCGATCGTGTGGGCGAAAATGTACCAAATAACCAAGCAACGTCCTCGACCGAAAATACTTTAGAGGTTGATTTGGACGAGCCAACAGAAATAGAGAAAATGCAGCCTAACCAACAACAGCTACATGCTGAGGCAGTAGCTCAAAATGTTGACCTTTCTAATTCTAATCTTACATCACCAACACAACCACCACCAACACCTTCCTTACCTAAATCTTTAACGAGTAATGGATCGATTCCAACTTCAATAGAAGGAAAAAGTGATGACGTGTTTTCGTTTTTACATGTAGTAAAACGAAAAAAAACAAAGAACAATCTTACCAAAACTACTTCATCTTTTGTGGCAAAAATCATTCAGAACGATAATCTGACAAAAATTTTGGCGAACCGGCAGAATGAAGACACTTATTTATTTTTTAATTCTGGGCGAACATTCTGTTGGATTGATCTGACAAACAAACCAAAGGTTGGTGTTCCAATTATAATCCTTTCTATAATTTTTATATTTGGAATTGTGTGCGATATATATTTTAACTTAGGACCCGTTGAGCAAGATTAATTTTACAAAAGCTCATCCTATATGCCATGATGTTAACCAGCTGACTCGTTCTTGTGAACATTTGGATGTTGTTATCGGTTTTTCATCTGGAGATATTATTTGGTTCGACCCTTTATGTAATAAGTACTATAGATTAAACAAACAGGTACTTGATTTTGTACATTGGATTTGATTAGAGACATATTGTGTCATTAATAATGTGCTATAATATATATTTTACAGGGAATAATAAACAATTCATCAGTAACTATGGTGAGATGGGTTCCTGGCTCGGAGAATTTATTTATGGTATCCTATCAGGATGGTTCTGTTATCATATATGATAAAGAAAAAGATGATCAAAATTTCACCCCGACAGCAACAAATGAAGAAGAAGGGTGATTATATAATTTATAATAATTTAGAATTTAATAAAATAATACTATTAATAATATAATAATGATAATAATGATAATAATAATATTATTAATAATATTGCTATTATTATTATTACTATAATTATTACTATTATTATGGTTATTATTATTATTACTATAATTATTACTATTATTTATTTATTTATTTATTTTAATTTATTTTTTTTTTATAACTGATCTTTTCTAATTCGAAATATCAAGATTTCGAGTGTCGCGGCCATTAAAAAACGGAAAACATAACCCAGTATCACACTGGCAAGTTTCAAAAAAAGCGGTAACAGGTAAAAAAAGAAATATATGCATATATATATATATATATTCCAAATAGATCATTCTATGATGAATTGCTTATTTTATTTTATAGCATTTGCATTTTCGCCGGATTGTCAACATGTAGCAACTGTATCTATAGATGGTTTCTTACGGATAATAGATTTCAAACAAGAAACGTAAGCCAAAAAAGTGACAGATATCACGATTTAATGTAATTTGTCTGTTTTGTGGCCTCGGCTTTTATTTTATATTATTCACCATAACTTCATTTCTTTTCCATTTATATTTATGGACTTTCTTGTTCGGTTATAGGTTATTTGACACATACAGTAGTTATTTTGGTGGCTTTTCGTGTGTGTGTTGGAGTCCTGATGGTAAATATATATTGACAGGTGGTCAAGATGATCTGGTCACTATTTGGGCTTTTCGAGAACAACGTATCGTAGCTCGATGTCAAGGCCATCAATCTTGGGTTACCGGCGTGTCTTTCGATCCTTGGCGATGCGATGAACGTAATTATCGCTTCGGCTCGGTTGGTGAGGACACGAAATTATTACTATGGGATTTTAGCGTAAATGCATTGCACAAGCCAAAGCACGTATGTTGATTATTGTTTCCAAACATTTTTTTTATTTAATTTCTGGTTTTTTTTCCATATCATTACCTTTTATTTTATTTGTGGGCCCTTATACCCACAAATAATTTAACTTATTATCTTTAATTATGTCACTATCCAGGCGGGTAGTCATCGAAGAGCTAGTCTTGCTTCACAGTCACATGCGACAAGTATTGTTTTACGACGTAATTTGGCTGAACGTGAAATTCTAAAAAATACGGTTCATCCATGTCTACCTAGGTCTGAAGTTGCGATTCTTCAGCCAGTCATGGTGAGATATAGATATCTTAGTTGTCGTTTAATTTTTGGTTCTCAATCATTAATAGTCATGGATTATATTTTAGGATAAATCCATTGATGACGATCCACTTTGTTCAATAACATTTCGCGAAGATTGCATAATAACTTCATGCAGAAAGGGACATATAAAGTTATGGGCTCGACCGTAAATTTTAAATTCATTTATCGTCGAAATTAGATTATATAGTTTTTCTCGGTTTTTTTTTTTCTAGTTAGATATTGAACTTTTATAGACGTAATTTTGGATGCACGCTTTTATTTTTTATTTTATTTTATTTTAAATTCAATACACAACTATTTAATTACATATCATATTTTACGTTCGCATTTAAGTCTTAATCATTGGCTTGATGTTACAACTTATCTCAAATATCCAATTATTTTATTTCATCTTTAGAGTATTAAAAAGTTTTATCACAAAATCTTATATTACAATTTTTCGGCTTCAATTTGTATAATATAATAAATTCACATCAAAAGAACTTAAATATTACAATTTTTTTTGGCTTTCAATTTTGTATAATATAACAAATTCACATCAAAAGAACTTAAGAGTTTCACGGCTTCTCACCAACAAATATAATAGAACTATTTTAAGGATTATTATTTGCTTTACATGGAGAATTCGGCTTGACATATGATTAGCACAATTAATAGATATTTCACGCGCTTGAGAAAGCTTATATCATTATAGCCAACTGTCTAACGATAAATTACTATCAATTTATAATTAATATCAACAAATAAATTACGCATAAAAAAATTTTATTTATAACTTCAGATTTGTAGACTTGATATTGATTTCTTGTTTCTTTTGTTTTGAAACAGAAGCCTTCGTCCCATCCTTCCCGATAATAGTCACATTCTAAAAAAAAAAGTGAAATTTTTTTTACCCATATGCAACATATGTAATTAATAACTGTAAGACTTACTTTTTGGCCTATTAGTGAATCCAACATTTTCTGTTTTGCATGCTTGTTCCCTAGTCCAAGATTCATTCTGAATAGAAAAGGTTAGTATATAGTTTCATATCAGCCAATAAAATTACAGTGGTGATCAAGAAAGTATTGATTATATTCCTTATTTAACAATTCATCCCAGAAACTTTTTCTGATAATTTTTAGAAAATTAATTAAATATGTTTATACAAGACAATTACGTGAGAGTTCCAACAAGTTTCAATTTTTTTTTCTGACTAATAAAGTTATCAAACATTAATCTACACTAGCCCAATATTACGTAATTTGTTAAACCAATTTTAAAACGCATTAACTTTTTGCAGAAGCGATGTTTCAAAAATCTGACCACTAGCTTTGTTCCTGTATTATATGCTCTAACAAGTTACCGGTCAGTTGTCTGTAATATCACTTTTACACTTCGAAGGTGGTTATCTCCGTCACGTGCCTGTGTATAGACTTCGAGCACCATGCAAATAATAAGTGGTTCTGTAGAACCAATCCGAAGATTTGGAGTAGGGATTAGAACCGTCTAAGACTTTTCTAATCGTTTAACCGTTTAACCGTGTTCTCCATTAGTTCAACCAGCATTAAAAAATTGACCCATGATCAACATAATTCGGCCTGGAATTATGGAACAATTTTTAAACGGTTAAACGGTTCCAGTCCTAATCCGGAGCCGCCCTGAAACCAACTAGCGGTTCAAATCCGGTCTCTAGTTGGAATGGTACCGAAGTCAAATGATCGGCCGCACTCCGGGTCTTTCGATTGTTATTTGTTCTACGTGAAATTTCAGCTCCGGCCAATTTCAGCTTCCACAACAATTATGCAATAATTTTGATCGCCACTGTATTAGAATAATGATAAGAAAAAAAAGAAGCACATACTTTTCGACAACTTTTTTCTCGCGTTCTTTCAATTTCTTTTCCTTCTTCTTTAAACGTTTTTTGGCAGCTCGTGCTCGTTTTTTCTCATTTGAATCCATTTCAGTATCACCCTAATAAATTATATATTTTTAACAAGTTCAACAATTAACATAGATTTGAAAAGTAGTTATAATAATTTACCTTTACTTCTTGCTTCTTCTTATCATATACTTCTTCAGGAGCAAGTAATGTACCATCGCTAACATGAACCGGTATAACTTCCTCCATTGCTATGGCTGGTACATCAGCAACGACAGAAATTTCAGGTCTAGGCTATAATTTTTAGAAACAAGTGCAGATCAAATATAAATATTTTAGATCCTCTCTATACTGATTAGTTATGTAATCGCATGACTTACCGGTTTTGGTGTATAATGGAAATTGCTCAAAGCATCTAATTTATGGCACAATTCTTTAAACATATTCTCAATCTCTTGATGTTCTTTTTTTAACGCTTCATCTTTCTCATCTGGCATATCAGATGTTTGTTTAATATAACTTTCCTCATATATCTCTGCTAAGGACTTTTTCGATTTTTCATCTGACACTTCAACTAATTTTGAAGGTAGAAATGGCCTAAAATTTGGATCTTGCTTGCGTTCAACGTCGTCGAACGTTTCCTGAAATTAAAACCATAGCGTTAGTTGTGCTTACACATATTTATAAATCTATAAATGAGCCATTGATGAAAAATTTATAATTACGTCCGAAATCCTTTGTTTTATCATATCTTCAAGCTTAATAGTGACTTCTTCAGTAATAACAGGAACTGGCTATAAAAGTTGTAATTTTTAAATAATTAGTTATGTAAAAAAAAACTTTAGAAATCTTTAAAATAATTTAGTGTGAACTCACCTTAACGATATGATCAAATTTTAAATCCTCCTCTAATAAGCTATTTAATGGCCTATGCTTGCTTGATACCTGAATAATATTGAAGTACAGACGGCATGAATAAAAGTCGCTGAGAACACATATCAAAAATAAATTACCTCTCCCATTAGTGTCCAATCCTTATCAGCAATATTCTCCATTTCTAGCTGTTCTATTCGTTTTTGCACTTTTTCTTGTTTTTTATGGAAGGGTGATTTTAGAGCTTTATCCCCTATTTTATCACAGTAAAGAATTACGCACATTCTTTCATTAAATAATAATAATAATAATAATAATAATTGAACGAGCTAGCAAGCGAGATTTAGAATACCTTTGTCATCGCTTGTATCTTTAGCAAATAGATCGTAGACCAAATTATTCAAGGATTCATTATCATGCCCATAATCATCCTTACTATTGTCAATATCTAAATTGTCTATTAAATTATTAGAAGAAAAATTTTGTTTCTTTTTATTTTTTTTTGGCGGTGGATCAAAAAAGTCCTTATACATAATATCTATAAGCATTAATATATGAATAAAATGAAAGTTAAAAATAATCAATGATTCGCAAAAAAAAAAAAACATTATAATAATACCATTGGCATTTGACTCATCAGCCAATTCATCATCAGGATCTATTTATAATAAATTTTTTATACCAAATGCAAATTAATCTCAATATTTTTAGATTTTGTAAACGTATAATAAAACCTATATATGCACTCATGTACCCGCAAAGTAATCGATTTCATCATCTTCTGGCATGTTAACGTCATCTCCTGTGCTCTTATTAAATTCCTCCAAATTGAAAAAATCATCGTTCAAACCATTATTCAATATCTCATTGTCACTATCTTTCTTGTTCTCATCATTATCCTATAATCATGTATGTATAATGAGTGAATTAACTCGATAATTTAGCGAATAACGGTGATATTGGTTTCATACTTGCGCATCCTCTTCAAAGAGATCATCTTCGATATCCATGCTGTTGTTATCCGACAATTCGGAATGTGTACTAGAACGATCTTCTATTATTTTGTTTTCTAGTAGATCATGATTAGAGTCATTGGATACGCTGTCATCATCATTTTCAACATTCTCTTGGTTTCCAATAAAATCATCAAGTGCATCCAATTCATCATTAACATATTTCAAGAATGGATTGTTTTTCCTATCAATTTCGTCCCATATTTGCTCATTATTAAGCTTATCAATCACCAGCTCTTCAACCGGATCGTTGTCTATTATTTCCTGCCATTGTATTGGCTCCTTTCGTTCTTCCTTTTTACCTGAAATATAATTATTTTATCAATTCACTCGAATAATACCTTTTTATTCTGAAATCGCTCATAGTATACCTAAATCATACAAGTCTTTTGTAATATTTAAAGCTTCTACATATGTATCATGATTTTTTTTTAGAAAAATTTCTGGTTTTGCTATTACATTATCGAGAAAAAGCGAAAAATTTGTAAACATGATCAATGGATGTGTGATATAAAGCTGATAACGATTAGTTTAATCGAAAAAAAAAGTGTTTTACCACGTGAGTATGGCGTTCCCGAATATGGCTAAACTACCCCTACATTTTGAAATGGTGACGATAACGATAATCGGACAGTTTTTTGGTAGCTAATTAATATAAAATTTAGTTCTTGGGTATCGCAACCAGCCATTGATGGCACAACTTTATAATATAGCATTTCGAAAAAACTTGAAAGAGATTTAAGAACTATGCATATCAGCCTGGTATGGTGCAGGACATCTAATCACTGAAATTTGAAATATATATATAGATGGCGCCGAATTTTAAAAATTATATAATAGTGTTGAATTTTAAAAAATTATATCATGATTTAAAAAAAGAACATGAATAAAAAAGAAAAAATTTTATATTTATTGAATTAAATTTAATAATTAAAATAAGTGCTGAATTTTTAACTTTTATGAATAAAATAAAGCGCTGAATTTTTTAAATTTATTATAAAATTAAAAGTGTTTTTTTAAATTTATTATAAAATTAGTGTTTTTTTAAATTTATTATAAAATTAAAGCGTTTTTTAAATGAAAATAACATTTTAATAAAGAGGATTTTTTCTATACTTATATAGATATGCTGCAGCAATAACAATAACCATCAACCCGAACTTCGGAGGGGCCGCCCTGGCGTCGTCAAATCCAGATAGTGTATTTCATAGTGTGTTTGTTATTGTGACTACTGATCTGGGGTCGAGTGACAAATTTTATTACTAGTAAAACATCACGAGAAACATTTTTAATTAGGCCGCGGAAGATGGTTTCCTAATTAAAATTTAGTTATTAGACCCGGGTGGGTCGAGATCGTACCCGTATAAAAGTCACTTGGATATAAATTAGTAAACTTATCGATAGCGATAGTGTAATTTTTTTTTTTATACAAGCTTAACAATATTTGCAACCCCATTTGTAACATTTTTGTGAAAAAAATACTAAATAAATTTATTTTTATTAATTATTTATTGTAAAATAAAATGCTAAAAAATTTATTTTTATTATTTACTTAAATTGCAAGTATTAATTAGTAATATTGTTAGTAGACGCATATCAGTCATCAAACGAAAATCGTTTGATGTCCAGGTCACACCACGAGGAGGTTTGCATCATGTGACCCAAAGGAGTATAAAATCGGGATTTGAAAAAAAAAACTAAATCTTTAAAGAAAGGGGTTAGGAAACATCGATTTTAATTGTGTATTCGAATATTTTTATAAATTCATTTTTCCCGATCTTTTTAAAGATCTCGAAATGATAAAATACGATATCGATGATGTACCAAGTCATCGATAAAGTTGCGAGTCAATCCCGCTAATGTAAATGACCCTCAGGGTATACAAGAAAACCTAAATAAAAACTATTGCCCCTCCCTCCCACACGCAATAGGTGTACAGCTGCTACGAGTTTTTCGAGGGTCGTTGGTCTTTGATCAAGACCAACAAGAAAAATAATTATATTAAAAGGATACAATTCTCTATCCATCTTTTTTCTGAATGTCTTCATACCCGATACTGTAACAAAAAGAATAAGATAAAGTAGTAAATATCTAAACGTGAAACAAATCAAAATACAGATATAAACAGAAATAGCGAGATAAAATACATCAAGCGAGTAATCTCCGCAGTGATTCAACGACGCGAGTGAACGAGAAGTGAGAAGTTGAAAGTGCGACTACATAGGACGGCTGATCAGTAATTCACCCGGTCAGACCGGAATCACCGAAACAACCTAACTTCTCCGAACCTATATAGAAGTGAATAGTACGACGAATAAAAACAACGGGCGGAAAAGAAGAAAAAAAATATTGAGTGTGAGAAAAAATTGGTACGTATATATTAGTCACTCGATATGTCACGCAGATCACGCTCAACCCATTTTCGATTTCCTTTTTTGGAAGATCTGCATAAATTAGCCAATCACATTGTAAATTTTTACGAAGCAAAAAAAAAGAAAAAAAACTAAAAAACACAAGAAGCGAGTGCCTAATTAAAAATGTCGAGGGAGTAATTTTACCTATAATACTTGACATATCCTTAACCTCAAACTAACCCTAACCTTAATTTTAATTGCTGTGTTTTAGACACTTTTCCAAAAAAAGGAAATCGAAAAATGGGTTGGTAAAATCGGTCATTTTTCATACGTAGCAGGTAGTAAATTGCGACGGTAGGCCTTTTTAGGAGTTTCGCAGATCAGTATGGTGCCAAATTTTATATAGTACGTACGTACGGGGTGGGGTTTAATTTCGGCCTGTACCATACTAATCTACCGCGTGCACTTATCGTTATTTGTGCGAGTGATACAAATCCAAAAAGGGAAATTAGCCAATTGGAGAACGTATAATGTGATTATCCCGGATCAGCCCGATACGTGAGCGAAGCGAAGGAAAACACGAAAAAAAAGCGAAAAAAGCGAAAATACAAGAAACTGAGTGTTTAAACCTGTCTTGGGTCACTAATTAAAAGTGACGGAATGAAATTTTACATAGAGAAAGTAAATGTTTATTTCTGTAGCATCTAACTTCAGCGTTCTAACCCTAAATTTTTATTTTCACGAACTTAGTTCGTTTTTACGTTGAATTTCCTTTTTTTGGGTTTGTCGCACAAATAAGTATTTCCCTAATCTACCACCCATACCATACTGATCTGCGAAACTCCTTTCATCATCATCACTATATCATATCATCTGGTAAATCATACACCTATCCCAAAATTTTATTATCACTATATCATCTGCCCCAGTAAAATATGCGCTCTTGCTAATTTATTTTTTGCTAATATTAATCAATTTGATTAAAATATAACATGTTTTAACATTTCAATTATTTCAGATTCCCCCCTTTTGTTTTTATATAAAAACTTTATTTTCAAAATAATGTGTGAAAGAATTAAATTCACAAGAATTTACACTATTAAAATTCATCAAGTTCTTATATAAACGTAAGTACAATTTACTAAAATATAAATTATGAAGTTACATATTTATATATGTGGAACGATCATGGTATGGAGCAGGACATCTAATCACATCATAGCGCTGAGTTTTTTTTAAATTTATTATGTAAAAAATTAAAGTGTTTTTTAAATGAAAATAACTTTTTAATAAAGCGGGTTTTTTTAAAAAAAACTTTCTATACTTATATTCTTTAAGTTCCAAAGAATATAATTGTAGAAAAAAATATTATTGGTTAAAAAGTTATTACAAACAAATTATTTTGTGATGTGATTAGATGTCCCGCATCATAGTTAAGATTTTAGGTTCGAGGCACGGGTAAAAAAATCGGCCAAGTATGCTCTTAGGGAGTCTGGTAACTCACCCACAAAAAATTTTCCGGAACGTGATTTTTAGCCAATTAGATCGAAGGATCAGGGCGTAACGTAAAATCAAAAGCGAAAGATTTTAAAGTAATAAGCTTCACCTTTAGGGTTAGTAATAAGGCCAAGAGAGGGTATAGCTTATACCAAAATTTCATAAGGAATTTTTTTTTGTTAGAACGCAGAAGGCAGTTTCATAGGCAAACTTTCGAGTTATTGGCGATTTTTTAAAAAGACGTGATTTTCACGTTACAACTGATCCTTTTATCTAATTCATAATTGGCTAAGTTCACGTGCCGAAAATTTTTTGTGAGCGAGTTGCTCATAGGCATGCCTCTATTTGGATCATGCAGTAATCGTATAACGATAATAATAAATCAATTTTATATGCACGTTTGAACATCGATTAAAATTTCACTTTCCAATCGTGCAATTAATATCTTTAGCCACCAACTTAATTACATAGTATAGTTAGATAAAACAAGGTTTTTCATTTATTAATCTCACAAAATCTGATTCATTTTTTAATAGGGTTATGTTTGATAAGTATATTTTTCGAAAATATTGTAAATTACAAAAATTATAAATTAATTTATTAAATTGTTAAATGCATACAGCGTTTGTTATACGTAGAACTGGAGCTATTAGATTCTAATTTTTTAAAAAAAGTTTGTAAAATTAATATTAACTTATTTATTATTAATAAAACTTCTAATAAAAATTACATATATTTGATATATATGTTGTAAGTGGGAATGAAACCCTAATAGGGTTCGGAATCCACTTAGATTAGAACGGAATAATTATACTAAAAATCCCAACACCTAACCTTAAAAATTCCGAATCAACTTAAATTCTATTCCCACCTACGACATATATATATACACATATACTGTATAATAAAATACCGATAGAATTAATGACTTTAGCAAATCATTTTGGATCTTTATGTCACATGATTAGGTATGCCTGGGCCTTTCGGCATCTGAGCCTTGAACCCTAGTTCTCACGAAAAATTGTTCATCCCCAGTAATTTTGAACAATCAGTTAAAATATACAGGTAGGAACGTCCCAAATAAGGAAATGATGATCCCGATCATGCATATTTGTTCAGCCAATTAAAATCGAAAATTTTTATCATG